TTAACGTTGAATTCATTGGTATATATAACCAGCCTAAGGGTATGGTGGCGCAAATGGATTAGCCCAACCCAAATTAAGTTGTTGTGATACAATACAGAACCTCGCGTCAAGCTTTCGGAAAAAGTAAGAACATTTCATACATAAACTTTAGGGAAAACAAAGAGAAAATTTTGTAAGGTTGTTTTTTATTTGAAATAGAAAGAAAGTGAAAGGGGTTTGTTTCAAATAGAAAGAAAATGATGGGTAAGAAAAGAAAATAAATTGATTGAAACATGAGAATCATAATAAAGGGAGAAAAATGTAAATATGGTTAAAGTAATTTTATATAACAGTGCAAGAGCTATTATATAGGTCATAAACATGAATTTATTTAAATATTCAAATTTACTGCGACTGACTCCACCATTCTAGAAAGCCCATTTATGTTTTTGCACTGGACTCCGGTTAAGATTGTTGAAGGTTAAAGCAATCATTTTTAATTTATAAGTGTATCTTTGGAATAATAACAATAACGATATTAGTGATGGTAACGGTGATAACAATGATAATAATAATAATATTGTAGTGGATGATAATAGATAATGTTGAAAGTTAGTGAAGTTGTTGTACACCACGATAGTGATAATGTTGAATGGTAATGATAAGGATCGAGATAGTATTGGTACAACACTATAATAGTGAGTATTTTTATATTTAGGATAAATAATTACTTCTTAGTTTATTGAGTAACAAAAAATGAATTTTTATTTTTTTCTTCTATCTTCTTTGTCATATTCCTTGACCCTTGTGTAAGTCAAGCATATGACAAATATATTTCTTCTATTCATTATCATGATTTTTAGGGAATCAATCAAACCTTAAAAGTGTTAAAAACTTTAATGTACTCCACTCAATAGGTTGGTTGATTAATCTGGTGCAAAAGTTGGGGTGAGGCATTGAACTATATGATATCTTACTCTATTTTTGTGTGTGAACTTTTTTAAACCCCTCATAAACATATATTAAACACAGTTTATAAATTTATCACAATAGTTAAGTTTATGAGTTCAGCAATAACACATAATTTTACATTATTATGTAATCACAATCTACATAAATGATAAGTTTGTTATGATTTTTGATTGGTTCTTTATGTAAAAAAATTTACATTGATAGTAGATCACTATTAAACCCTAAATTTATACATATAATATAGTAATTTTTTTATACTACTTTTTAGTTTGCACTAAAGATACACTAAAAAAATTGATATATAGTGATACATACTATAATAATATAATACTTGTTATTATAAATTATTTTTACTTATATTATATATATAACATATGTTGGTATATTGTTAAAAAATGTAAGTATAAATTATAATGACAAATAATATATATTATTTAATCTCATTTAAAATTAACACTAAATTTATATATAATTATATATTAAATAAATTTATGTCTATATATATTATATTTATATTAACACTTTTTTATATATATACGCATGTAACATTTTTTGTTGAGATATTGTTTATTGGATAGTTGAAAACTAACTTGTTGGAGCGCAGAGATCGTAAGAGTATTTATAACTCTTCCAAAGTTTTCTCCCTACGTATCAATCAGGAATCGAAATGCTGACAATACTATGGTTTTGTTTCTATTGCTTTCCTTTACTTGTATCATTTCCAAGTTGTGATAACGCTTTTGCATAAATAAGATTGAAATGATATAGAGATGGCGTTCACAGAGCATAAGACAACTGCCAAAACATAACTAGTCTTGAGTCACTTCATGTGGAATCGCCAGCGGGGAATTGTGGGAAATTGTATGAATGGAAAATTTATAAACTTAGCTCCTATTTTTAGGGTGGATTAAGATGGAAGAAAGATAACAAAAAAAAAAATAGAAAAAGAAATTTATAATTATAATATCAGAAATGATTAAAAAAAAAGTAAAATAAAAGTTATAAGAAAGTGGATTATATGCATGTTTATAAAGACTCAACGAATGAATGCAAGTGTTTATGAATAGCATTCTCACCATCATATTGCTACACCCTAAGGAAAGATGCCCAAATATTAGTCGCTCTGATGATCATTAAGTGATTGCAAATTAATGAGAGAACAAAGAATAAAATATTGGTAACCGGAAAGTTAATCATGAGTGTTTACCATTATTGTTTTTTTTTTTTTTTTTTTTTTTTTTTTTTTTTTTTTTTTTTTTTACCATGGTTAATCGGAATCTTGATATATAGTGGTTTTAAACTTTTAAAGCTCCTAAACTAATTAAAAGGGATTTGACTACTAAATTAATTAAGAGGATTTCACTCTTTCAAAATAAAAGAGTTAACTCATAATTATTAATTATAAAATCAACAATAAAAATTTGTAATAAAATTTAAAATTAATTATAATATTAATCCTTAATTTTCTAAGGTACAATCTTCTCACAGATGAGCTAGATTCGATTAAAAGATACGGATTTGCGAAAATGTCATGAAATGAACATCATCGCAAATAAAATACATTAATTAAAGAGAAGATGCGGTAGACAGTGCCAACCAAGAATTTCCCTGGCCACAAATTCCTATAAAAACATTCCTAATTAAATGAACATTGTTTATCACATTATCTTTACTACTACATTTGATTGTTATCATGCATAAAGTCATTCTATATATAAATTGTGTATTCACTGTATTGTAACAAGTGTAATATTAAGTGGAGTGTCTTCAATAAGCTACGCTTATTCAAAAATTTAATATACAAAAATAGCAATTTTGAATAGTGTCTACAAACAAATTACTTAAAAATTTAAAACAATATTAATACAATTTTAGTAGACTTTTGATTAATCTATACATATTTTACTGTTATTTATTTTAATATATTTTAAATTTTTTATTAACTATATTAATACAAGAATTGCTCAAAATAACAATAATTGACTCCATTTGCAAAAGCAATACATACATACATATATATATATATATATAAAAGCTAAAAACCTATTTTGGTCCCTTATAATAATTGTTTGTTTCAATTTAGTTCCACTTTTATTTTCGGTTTCAATTTGGTCTCAAACTAATTAATTGGTTTCATTAGGTCTCTAATAAATTAATTCGTTTCAATGTGGGACTTCCGTCTAAATTTCTTTAACGGTGTTAACTGTTGGCCACGTGGATGCCACATAGATGCATAGGTGGATGTCACGTGGATGCCAATTTTTTTGAAAATACTTGGAACCAGAACGGCCTGTTCTGAAACCAGAACGGGCCGTTCTGGATGCACTCTTGGTGTGTTAATTTTGCATCTGAAACGGGCCGTTCCAGATGCAAAATTAACACACCAAAAGTATATCAGAACGGGCCGTTCTGAAACCAAAACGGCCCGTTCTGGATTCAGAACGGCCCGTTCCAAAACTGAGAATAGAATATTATTTATTAATTTTATTAAAAAATATAATAATTTTGAAAAATATTTTTTTATGGTAAAAATTTTAAAATTAATTATTTTTATAAAATACAATTATCTTATAAATAGAGTAATAACTTTTTCTTTTTTTCTTTCTATTTGAATAAATATTTAAGTGTCACTTTATAATTTTTTGTAACTTATTTAAAATTAGAGGAATAAAATGATAAAAATTAATAAGATAAACATAATAAAATTATTAATTTATTTTCTTTTAGTGTCCTCTAAATTTTTACATTCATTTAAAACAAAAATATTTTGTATGTTAATTTGAATTAATTTAACGAAGTATCATATAATTTTTAATTTTTTAAATTTTTTTATAAATTTGATCTATACATGAAAAACTTTTTAATTTAACAATTAAATTCTTAAAAATTTGATATAGAACATTAATTATTAAATAGAATAAATCTATCAAGACTTATTCTTGAAGTAAGTAAATTTTTTCTTCATTAAAAATGAAGATAATTTTACCACAAAATAAAAAACAATTAAACAATAAAATAAAATATAAAAAAATATTAATATATTTATTATATTAGATATAACAACATAATTAAAATATAATTAATAATATATATTTTATAAAATTATTAATATTTTATATATAAAAAATAGAATGAAAATATTTTTAGTGGGGGCAAGTGCTCTCACTATGATTAACTTAGATCTGTCCCCGCATATGGTTGTGTGGTAAAATGTTAGTTTTGTGTATCCTCTTCCTTTACTTTAGGTTCTACCTCTTCAAGAACATGTTGTTGTTGGGGTACATCGTTAATGACTTCAAGGAAAAATACCATGTCATTTCATCCTTTACTAGTTTCAATTAGGTCCCTAATAAATTAATTAGTTTCAATGTGGGACTTGCGTCCAAATTTCTTTAACGGTGTTGGCCACGTGGATGCCACGTAGATGACACGTGGATGCCAATTTTTTTGAAAATACCTGGAACCAGAACGGCCCGTTCTGAAACCAGAACGGGCTGTTCTGGTTGCACTTTTAGTGTGTTAATTTTGCAACTGGAATGGGTCGTTCCAGATGCAAAATTAACACATCAAAAGTTCAACCAAAACGGCCCGTTCTTGTTTCAGAACGGACCGTTCTGGTTTTAGTTGTTTTCAAAAAAAATTCTCATCCACGTGACATCCACTTATGCATCTACGTGGCATCCACGTGGCGAACAGTTAACTCCGTTTAAATAATTTGGACGGAAGTCCCACATTGAAACCAATTAATTTATTAGGGACCAAGTTGAAACCAATTAATTAGTTTGGGACCAAATTGAAACAAAAAATAAAAGTGAGACTAAATTGAAACAAACAATTATTATAAGGGACCAAAATAGGTTTTTACCCTATATATATATATCGTTTCTATCTACATTTGTCGTTTTTAATGTGCATGAACGTATATCTGTCGATAGAGTTTCAATAATCCGTGTGGGGAACAAATGCTGGCCAAGAATATTGATTAACTGGATTTATAGGGGACCCATTGCACTTGTGTGTCTTCTAGACCGAAGAGGAAGAGTTCATTCAAAAATATCTAGAACTATTTATAGGAAGCTTATTATATATATTAATTGGCTTTTAGATCGACTTATTTATGAGAGATGCATGTCTAATATAGCAATAATGAATGTGGAAACTCTTCTTATAGTTGTTGGAAGCACTATTACTAGCTGATATTAACGGTGTAATTAATGTGCGTGCGCATGATCCAAGTGTCAGAATGCTACATGGGAGAATATTAATTGGCTCATCACATTACTGATAGTGCAAGAACTATAATGGTCTAGGCGTCTAGCATTTTGGTATATTTTAATCAGTAATTTCTCCACTATGATCATATATGTGTACATGCTGCTTCACTAAATAAAGAAAAACACTGCAAAATTTAGTAAATGCCAAAACCTTTTTTCTCTTTGCACCTTGTAAAGAGAGTATATGTAGCTACAAAAGTTGTTTCCATGATCATACATGAGGTATCAAAACTGGTCCCATAATTCACCACCATTTTTTATGGCATTTGTTCCTTTCTGGTCCAATTATAGACGATTATTAAGTGCCTCCTGCGAGAGAATAAGTCGTGCGATATGGTTTTCACGCTGATGTTGGGATATTACTTGTAAAGACTTCGACATTCAAATGAAAAAACACTACTAAGGTTGATGTTGTATATGATTCTTGTTGCTAGGTCATCTTTAAGGGAAACTATCCCTAAACCTGAAGATAAGGAGATTAGAGAGCTGCCCTAATAGGTTGAAGTTATTAATTATATAACTCAAAGATTATTATAATCTCAATTAATCTTCGTGACACATAATTAAATATTATTAATTCTGTTTTAAAATTTAAAATGTCTACTAGATACTCCAAGGAGCTATTTCTCTTAGTATGTGTTTGGTTCGATTAACATAATTTTTCACGTCAAAACCAAAGCTACTAATCGTAGCTTTTGCGTCAGTATGTGAATTCATATATTAGTCGATCGTATTTTCAAACACACTAATTAATTAATTAGTTTACTAATTCATGATTTCATGTATATTTACAGTTGATAACAACTAAGTTCTTTAAGTAAGCTAATAGTAATTTCGTGATAATGCGTATATAATGAGTATATAATGAAGATTTTGTTAAAAAAGATAAAATACATTCCAGTAACCTCTGCACATGAGAGTAATTTAAAAAGAAAAATTATCTTGGACATACTTTGGCGAGCTGTATCTAGGCTAGCCCGGGTCCAGAATAGTATTCCACAGGGTAGATTCTTTCAGCCACTTTAACTTGCAGTATTTCCCCCACTTTATTCCATAACAGTAGCAAGGTGTAGCCTTTATATTTATTGCTCCGCGTATATCTATCAGTTCTTAAAATTTTTCTTCCCCTAATTGTCCATGCAAAAATGATTGCTGAATCAAACATGAGACTCACCTTCTATTTTTGCCATGCTTTTCTTCTTTCCCTTCTCCTTGCCCACTACACTTCTTCACAGAAAACTTGTCCAAACTGTGGCTCTATGCAACTTCCATATCCTTTGAGCACACATCCAAGTTGCGGTGATCCCTACTACAAGCTTCGTTGTGATCCCCACTCTCAAAGGCTTTTCTTTGACACCCTCAATGAAAGCTCCTATCTCATACTCAGAATCATGCCTTCACTCCAACGCATGGTGCTACAACCTTCACCTTGGTTACCAGGTTCGTGTGTTACACAAGACATGCCAAGAAGCAATGGTATATGGCTAAACCAATCACTTCCTTTCAACATAACTTCATCAAACACGGTTTTTCTCTTTAACTGTTCCCCTCGCCTCTTGGTTTCTCCTCTTAACTGTTCTTCTTCTAGTATTTGCCATCGTTACTTGGAGAGTTCAGGCCATGTTGACACAAAAAAATCACTTGAGTGTGCAAGTGGTCTTCACCCTTGTTGCACCTTTCTAGCTGGTGGAATACCTTCAGCTTACAGGATCAGGCTTCATGATTCTGGTTGCAAAGCATTCAGAAGCATCCTTCATTTGAACCAAGACAAGCCTCCTAATCAGTGGGAAGAAGGCCTTGAAATTCAATGGGATCCTCCACCGGAACCAGTTTGTGAGACACAAAGGGATTGCTCTGAAGACTCCAAGTGTTCCCCTTCTGGTAGAAATGGCATATTTCGATGTCTTTGTAATGGGGGACACAGATGGAACCCTTTTATGGCAACCTGTGTGAGGTATGAGAGAAAATCCAAATGGGAAACCAGCTTGGTGGTCTCAATAGGGGTTGTTGTTACTTTTTTCTCTCTTGCTGTGGTTCTCACCATCATCACAAAGTCTTGCAAAATCACTACCTATAGAGAGAATCAGGCCAAGGAAAGGGAAAATGGGCTGAAATCAAGCGCTGGTGAGAAGCCTTGTAGGATGTTTCAACTCAAAGAGGTGAAGAAAGCAACAAATGGTTTTTCCCAGGAGAGGTTCTTAGGGAGTGGTGGATTTGGTGAAGTTTACAAAGGTGAGTTACAAGATGGAACTTTTGTGGCTGTGAAGAGGGCTAGAGTGGGAAGTCTGAAAAGCACTCAACAAGTGCTTAATGAAGTTGCAATACTCTCTCAAGTCAATCACAAGAACCTAGTCAGGCTCTTGGGGTGCTGTGTGGAATCTGAGCTTCCACTGATGATCTATGAGTATATCTCAAATGGGACCCTCTATGACCATCTTCATGGAAGGTATTGTTCCAACTTTCTAGATTGGAAAACAAGGCTCAAGGTTGCTTTTCAAACTGCAGAAGCATTGGCTTACTTGCATTCTGCTGCACACACTCCAATCTACCACAGAGATGTTAAGTCAACAAACATACTATTGGATGATGAATTCAATGCCAAGGTCTCAGATTTTGGACTCTCAAGATTGGCTACGCCGGGACTAAGCCATGTGTCAACATGTGCTCAGGGAACTTTGGGGTACTTGGATCCTGAGTACTACCGCAACTATCAGTTAACAGATAAAAGTGATGTTTATAGTTATGGGGTTGTGTTGCTAGAGCTTTTGACATCACAGAAAGCGATAGACTTCAATCGTGATCAAGATGATGTCAACCTAGCAATTCATGTGAATCAACATGCCAGCAATGGTACAATCATGGAAGTGATGGATCAAAGGCTTCTTTCCGAGGAGCCCTTGGGGGATAAATTGTTCACAAGCATAAAACTCTTCTTGGAGCTTGCACTTGAATGTCTAAGGGAGAAGAAAGGTGAAAGGCCTAATATGAGGGATATTTCTCAACGCCTGCAATGCATAATTAGGATTGAAGAACAAGAGTAAAGTAGTACACATGAGATGGGGTTTGTATTTGAATTTAAATTAACTGTGTAATAGTTAGCCTAAGCCTATAGCTAGTGTTTAATTATTAATGGTGAAAAACTTGAAATCTGTATAACTACGTAGTGGCAACGAGGACTTTGATAGATAGTGATTAGTCCACTGAGAATGGAGGAAAAGTGATTCCAAAACTGGATTTTATTGGGTTGGCGAGAACTGGGTTGGAATCAGATGCTCTCATTCTGTGGAAAGTATGAACTGTTCAAAAGTATATGCAGTGTTGTTAGAATCTTTGAGAATGGTTTTCTTTCTCGTCTAAAGTAATTTTCCTTTTGCAACTTAGGAAAGCATTTTCAATAATTAGATGTTGAAATGGAAATTCGATTTGGTTATACTAAGAAAGCATCATTAAAAATTTAAAAGGTCATTATTCGTCTAATTCACAAAGGATTATATGTAGAAAAAATAAGAGAGACGAGGTAATACTAATGTTGTGGGTGAACGTAGCAACTCACTGTATTTTTTATTGAATAAGAGATGACCTTTAAATAGTCATTTTACAACGTACTGAACTAACAAGAAGATAATAAAATATCTTATCAAATCAAAACTTATCAAGAAACTATCTTATCTAATCTGAAACAAAATAACTCAAAAGATAAATCAAATAATTCCAGATAACTTAAATCGGATATCTCGGATACTCTAGAAATTTAAGATTTTCCAACAAAACTCCCCCATAATCTTAAATTTTTTTTTTTTTTTATTTCGATGCCTCTTCCACCAGAGCGCGATACTCCTCCGCGTACCATGGCCCCGCGAGCCATGCGACGTCCAGCACCCCCGGCGTCGCGGTGGCCGATGCCTCTTTTGGGACACAAAAATACCTGTTGTTCTTTGGTCCACCTCTAAATCCAGAAAATACTTCATGATGCCCAAATCGGTCGTAACTCTCTAAGTGTCTGCACATTACACGTTTGAGGTTTGTTTCTTGTCTACGCAAAATTTTTTTATTTTCTGCTATTTAGTCATCTGGAACGGCCCGTTCTGCTTGCAGAACGGGCCGTTCTCCTTGCAGAACGGGCCGTTCTCCTTGCAGAACGGGCCCTTCTAAAGAAGACGTAACGAAGAAGAAGAAGAAAGAAGACGAAGTAAAAATGGAGAAAATAAACGGTGAAGACGAAGGTGAAGAAGAAGAAGATAAACGGTCGGATTCGGGTACATCGAATGAGAAAATTTCAACACCAAATCCGACCGTTCAAAACCGTTTGAACCCGAAATTTGCTTCAAAAAAAATCCGATATACCTAAGAATCAATCAGCCTCACCCAATCTGATCATCGGTTTGGCCGGTTTCGGATCGGCCGGAAAATTTTGCACAGGCCTAATGTTATGTACTTTTTATAGGTATACAATTAAGAATGAAAAAAAGAAGTCATTTAATTTAATTACCGTAGACTTAACCAACGCATGCGGTGCACATCTATTCAAATGGATCACCTTAACATCACTGTCACTACCGAAAGTTAGAGATATATCCAGTACGAGACATATTTACATGATTGAAATTAGGCATGATTGAAATTAGGCATGATAACGGACCGGTCCGCATATTGAAATCCTCGTTTTTTTTTATGGAATTCGAGTTTTCTCGTTCTAGTTCCTGATTATTTTTTCTACTTTATAAAAAATATGAAAAAATTTAAAAATTAAAATATAAAAAATAAGATAATACAAAATTTTAAATATAAAGATTTTTAATTTTAGATTTTATATATAAATAATTTTTTTAATTATATTATTAAGCGGGACAGAACATGTATAGGGGCAGGGTGGGGTGAGTACGGGGTAGAAGCGGGTTTAGAAACTAATAATCTCTTTTCTCTCAATCTCTAAATCTCTCATTATTTCTACACTAGACGTTTGTAACTCTCTAAGTGTCTGCACATTACACGTTTGAGGTTAGTTTCTTGTCTACGCAAAATTTTTTTATTTTCTGCTATTTAGTCATCTGGAACGGCCCGTTCTGCTTGCAGAACGGGCCGTTCTCCTTGCAGAACGGGCCGTTCTCCTTGCAGAACGGGCCGTTCTCTTTGCTGAACGGCCTGTTCTCCTTGCAATACAGGTCGTTCTGTTTGTAGAACGGGCCGTTCTGTTTGCAGAACTGGCCGTTCTGCTTAAATCTTTTGTATTGTAAATTATTTATCTGGAACGACCCGTTCTGATTTTAGTATGGGCTGTTCCAGATAGGTTTCTGTTTGTGTATTATAAGTTTTTTTATTAGTTATTTTGTTGCTATATTGTTATTATCTTTTTTACTTTATTTGTCTATTCAGTTAATTCATTGTTCTAATAATGAAAGTTTAATTTTTTCAGGATTATGGAGGATTCTGGGTCTGGCAGTGGAAGGAGGGAAGGTAGATCTGTCACCCGATTGTCTGGGTTGACAGCTGGACGCATTGCCAAGGAGAGGACACCGGTTGAGGTGGATCCTCGTTCTGGCAAGGCATCAGGCCCAAATGCTGCCAAGTTTAAGAGCTATTTGGGAGTCCTAGCTCGACGACATGTTTCTATTATCATTCCATCATGG